AAAAGTCGACCTCAGCAACTTATTTGACACAAAAGATTACTTCTTTCCACAATACTATATTGAAAGAAAATGTGTCCCGGGGAAGGGCCTCAGCGCGTCGGGCCAGCCCACCTGGGCAAAGTGCTTGAAAATAAAGGGGAATTTCCATTGCGTTACGAGGTACAGGGTGATGGAATTTCTTAGAATCCCTTATCCAGGAAATGGAACGATTACGAACACATCTTCGGTGACAGTGCGTGTCCCAGTGGCGTGCGAATGCTCGGAATTCTCCATTGGTTAAGCGAGGGATTTAGACATTTCCGTTTTGACTCGGCGTGTTTGTAGTATAGATATTGTGAATAGCTGGTCCTCGGTGACTGAATGTAACACGTGAATCTGTATAAATATATTATTTTAAGTTATAATTTAAATTATAAGTGACGACGCATAAGAACAGACGACACAGAAGCCATTTAAAAGTGGCGAATGTCGAATTTTGAAAGAATAGTTAGACTTGAACATAAATAAAATGTTCAAACTAGTTATTACTAAATTATAATCTAAATTATCTGAGGGCGAAACATTGTAGAAGAGACGATACAATATTCAGTACGAATAGATTTATAGCTCGCGAAGCTCGTGTAGAATAAAGTCATATTAATATTATGCCTATATTTGAAGTTTACTGTGGTATGAACAATATGACGTTCTCACTCCTATACCTGGCCCCTTATTATTTTTTCTCCTTGCTAAACTAGATGACACATTTTAACCCTGACTAGCCGAATTCTGCATGATCGTTTTTGAGTTGACTGAAATTGAATTCCTACTTTAAGCTGGAAATTGAATAGATTTCTATAGTGAAAAATGGCCGCTCCTTGAAAAGAAAAAAAGCACTAGTACTATAAACAGAGTGCATAAGAGTTTCATTCCTCCTCTTGCATGTCTAAGTATACCCATGCAGATTGCTTATTTAAATTTGCTTGTTCAATATTCACCCTTACAGATTTCAGAAAATATGAGAAAGTCACCTATATACAGAGCTGCAAATAAACATGCAGGCATACATGCCTAAACATTCATATTCAAATTACCCGACTCGTGGTCAAATGACTCTCGAGTGTAAGTTGGCCCGATTTATTAATTATCACTGATTTCAGCAAAAATTCCTTGAGTTTGTATAGAAATCGATAAGGATTTTCACATCATTTTTAAATTCAAGTGTTGCTGAGGGGACAGCTTCCTGCCTCCCTCCTCTGCCCACTATGCTTCCTCCTCCTTGCCCCGTGCGCGCCTATTAGCAAACAAACCGTCTCAGGTGAAAGAGCTAGTCCGTATAATATAATCAAAGCGCCAGCCCCCTACCACACACACACACCGGGCCACCGGCTTCATTTTGACCTACGCATGCGCGCAAAAAATTACCCATGGGGCTGTTTCTCAAGAACCCGGTAACCCGAGATTTAACATAGCGTAAAATGCGTAAAACGGGGTATTGCATGAATTGAGTAAATAACATGTTCCTGGTAGTCGTGTATATATAGGTATATAGTCGTTCTAACAACTTGTTTGGTTTCAAAAAGACCTATTTTAATACCACAAAATCATCTCACGCTTCTGACTGCAGTTGTTCATATCATGAACCATGCAATGTTACCCGAGATTAAACGAAGCGGGACTGATTTTGAAACTTTCTCATCAGCTTTTTTTTTCTGTAACCGATCTATACGTTGATAGAACAATGGGAGATTACGCTTTTTGGAATATAGGATTGTAAGACTTCAGATTTAGTCAAGTGTGATATTTTTCACACTTAAAACTGGTTAAGACGCGGTTTCTATGACGAAGTTGACATGAAAGCAAATCAACTAGCGATTCTACTCGAACAATCTCGACGTATGAAGCAGAAACTAACCCCGACGCACACCAGGCATGCAAACTTGGCATTCGTAGCAAATTACCTGCAGCAAAAATTGATCGTGTGCGGGAAAGAATGTCGGTATTTTTGTTATTCGGGATACATTTACTTGACACAAAATTTCCTAGTCATAGGTCACCAAATGGAACGCATGCGTGTAATTGTCGATGAAGAAGTCTTATTATCTATCATCATGCATCATCACTTTGAAAGATTCTCTGAAAGTGCCTTGAATTTTCATAATACCCTACATTCGGCTTCGAAAAGGATTATTGGACAAGCGTTGGTTATACTCCACTACAAGCCATCGTCTTTTCTTATTTCTACAATTCACGGCTGATGAGCACTACTTAAGAGTTAAGATACTACTGTATACCCTGTCACGAATGACAAGTTTCCGTTAATGAGTGATTAATGTAATATATACGCCATTGGAAATAATAAATGCGGCATTAACCGATTCGTGATAAAAAAAAAACTTTGATTGAACCATTAATAAAAGCTGGCAAGTTATATTTCCTTTCCCATGCCCTGTAATTATGACGGCCCCTCATCAGCGCATCCAGCGAGCTAGTTAAGTAAATAAACATACATCAAAACACTTTTAACGATCATTCAAATAGCTCTTTGATCATTCAAATAACTTCAGACAGTCTATAACACTCCGGTTGAAATGAGACCTAATTTCCTGTCGACTAGTTACCGATGACACTCGGATGACCTCAACCGTCATCGTTGACTATGGTCAAACAATTAACTATGAATCGAATATTGATAATTTTCGAAGCTTTCGAGCCCACACGTCTACTGAGGTATAAATTACACAAAAGTTATATCTTAAAACATATCGATTTTCAATCTCTGGCGATCATTTATTTGCAGGGATTTTAAAGAAAACCGCACGTAGTGACATTGTGACAACAATAACTGTTTTCGCATAGATATATTTAAGAACATGACCAAATAAGATTGACTAGAACATGACAAAAGAACCCTAAAAATACCTAGCGAGATCTAGAATGCTGAATGTCAAGGTTACATTTATATACATGCATCGCGAATTTGTCTTTCATAGCCTCGCGGAATATGCTAAATAGGTCTTCGAAGTCAAGTACATTAGTACACCACTGAAACAACTGGAAATTTCGTTTAATTATATTTTGTACAAAGTATGGAAAAAACCAATCATCATGATAATCATAAACATCATATACAATTTCAATACTATCGGCCTTTAATTTTTTTCCAGCGGCCGGAAAGAAGTGTTTGTGAATTATTACGTGAATTTTCAAAAAATTCCAAAAAAATTCAGTCTGAAACTTCTTGTGTTTGCGTTTCATTGCATTGAATTTATACTTATAGTCTATTTCAAACATGCCGATCACTCGTGTTCGGAAATTTGCAAATTGTCATCAAAATGTCATTAATTTCCACTGGGTATGTTTGATCACGGTTAATTCCATAGCGTGATAAACATTTTGGAAACTGCTAGTGAAGTTATAGGCATTGAACCATGAATCAAGGTGCTTTATAAAATTGCAATTAACACCGTGGTTGGTTCGTGACGCAGTATGCTCAATTTATTGACTGAACTAAAATTGAGACGATTTTCGACTAATACGGATATGCATGCATGCATCTCACGTCATTTGCGGGATCACGCAATTTTTTCTTGAACACCGAAGGTTAACATGACGCAAACCCTCTGCCCAGACAACTATCATTGAATTTTACCTAAAATAATCCAGTTAAGCTTGCAAATGAGGTCATTAAAACTACTGATAGCTATAACAAGCTTAAACAGTAATCTCAGGTTTTTTATTGTAATACTGAACTGCATGTCTAGCGAAATTTTCGTTGCTTATTTTATCAAAAGATTCTTGGCCTAAAAATCGCGTGAAGCAGTGAATTCCTTGATACTGAAAGTATATAAAATTATTTTCAGGGGCGTGCGATATTTTTTATTGGAAAAAAGCGAATGATTATTTATGTTGATTTCATTTTTCCAATAATGAAATTATGGAAAATACTAGTTTTTCGATTTGAGCAGTTCGTATTGCATGTTATAAAGTCAGTTTTTTATCTTCTTATCCGAGCTACAGATGTTTCATTAACGACTGTTAGCTTTTTGGCTTTAAAGTTTATATTTAATAAGCCGTAGATGAATGACAAAACCGTCGCACAGACGGAGCTTTCCTAAGTCAATTATTTCAATTTACCAAGGCTAGTGGAGAAATGCCTTTGGGCTGTTTTCCACTAGGAGGAATTTCGCTTCCAGTGCCAAATTTTTCTTTGCGATTTTGAAATTAGTTGTATACAAACACGAAAACTACGAGCATAGCCATGGACGAATTCCGGCTGTGCCTTGTGGAAAACATGCAGCCTTCAACAAGTGTACAATATTTATGTATCATTCGAAACCGTTCGTTAGAGTTGCGGCATACAAGTTTCGCTATTTAATTAGCTAAAGACACTCGTAAGTATAGCTAATACTTTGACATGAATTGTCATAAAATTTGCCATCGTTGATTTTGGATGAAGAACTAACTAAACTTAAAAATCTTCCTTCTACAAAGACATTTAGCTACAAATTCTTGACTTTTACCCAGATAAATAACGAGCCAACACTTTGCACGTATACAAAGAGAAAATGTATGAAATGAAAAGACATATATAGTTTATAGGAAGGTAGATAAAAGTTAAAGTAAGTATATCTAATTTATTATTTATGTGTGCATGGCGCACATTTAATACGATGCAAATATTGGTCAAGACGGTGGGACTTGATATTCAATTTCTGCATGTATTCAGACGAAGATTTTCATAAGTATTTTGACAATTTAATTTTAAAAAGGGCGCGACTTTTGACTGATTTAATTTCTATCAGACTGGTAATATGCTGTCTATTCTAATTTCTAAACTTTGCTTTAATTAACCATGCTTCGTCGACTTGACCTGTCTTAACAGGGTTAGGTAATGAACAGCACCCTTGCCTTATGTGCTAACAGGCTCAACATCATAATCTAACAAGATCAACGTCAAACTCCAATAAACCATCAATGCTTGGATCATCAATCTGTACATGCAAAGCTTCCGTATTTATTATAAAAATCGTCCCCTGTCGGCATCTAATCTAAGAACAGCGGGCCACTGATTAGTTCCCGTTCCGTGTGAATTGAGCCAAACCTAAACACATGCAGACAGTCAGCCTGACCGCAAATCATTACACGGAGAATATTGACTAAACGTCAGCCAGAGGCTAGCAAAAGGTATAATTGCATCGTAGCAGAAAGCCAGGAATTATCATTCAACAGAATATAAAGAATGAGTTCAAGACCAAAGGTGAGTTGATACGCCTTCGGTTCTGTGAGCAAAGCAATAGGCTGCGAATAATGTAAATATTGCGGGTTAAATGCGTTAGTTCACAATGATTTGGCACTGTGATGGCAATGTTTATCTGGCTGGGTTATAGCCCACGCATGTATAGTTTGCCAAACAAGACGTCGACAAACAATTTCTGAGAGATTATTTCGAAGACTAACGGGCTTAATTCTTGTAAGACTATAACAGCATATACATATATAAAAGCCCAAATTTATAGTCCGATGACTCAACGCTAAATCTTAATGCGCATTTCTTCCATCAACATTCGTAGGATGAATGGTGTTATTTTGACGGAAAAACGTTTGTTATACAATGGGAATTGCCAAATTTTACCAAGGCCAATGAGGTTTTAACCTTGGCATTGATTATAGCTATTTTGCATAAAGTGCGCGTCGGTTAGCTGTATAATTCTTCTTCATTGTTCTCAACTAACGAGTCGTAGAGAATATCGCCGAATACATGCATATTAAAATTATCGATTGTGAATATTTGAACGGCTTAGCTCTCTTTTAAACCATTGATGTGTGCAGAAAAGAACTCAATTATATATTGCATAGTCTTGCATATTATAAGACATATTGTTATATAGGTGCTGTGTATTTTAAATGTGATTGGTTCATTCGTAGTCACATGACTTTAAATAAATGCAATGTTTCCCGCCAGGGAAACAAGTGAAAAATTGTTGCCCGCATGTATGTTTTTGTTCCTATATAACTTTTTTGTTCCTATAAACTTAATGTACACTACCTCGGGAAATAGTGAGTTTTGTTTTTCCTCGAGTCTCAATATTTCCCTCGACATTCAGACTCTCAGGAAAACGAAACTATTTCCCTCGGGAGCATCATTAAGTGTATATTATTCTTTAGTCTATTGTGTCTCAAAAAATAAATAAACTCACCCTTAATCTTTAAGTTCATTTCACATCTTTAATTACTTGGACCCATCAAATGAGATCTATAAAAATACACTGAAATCGTTCTCGGATGGGACAAATTAAAATAAATTAATATTCATCATTGTGGTAAAATCTATCCTACAATTAAACAATAAAAAAATAGATGTGCTATTATGAATAGTTGAGATTTAATCAGAACAAATTTTATATATGAATAATATATGATATGGAAAGAAGGGGAGGAAATGGATAATAAATATGGGATGTACATTTGAGGGTGGAATGTGTCATCGTCATGATTAATTCAACTCTGGCATGGCATGTCTGTTAATCCTTGTCCTATACACCCTTTAGTGTATTTATTTAGCTTAGGAATGATTTCCCCTGTCGCATTTTTTTGTGCGCACGTATATACATACGTAAAACCTGAATTCAGATTTTAAACGCTTTATAATTAATTACTCGTAAGTCATATGATCAGGTATAATAATACGTCACGTGTTCATATCTGATCCGGCTCACCCTACTTTGTATATTTTTTCAAAAAGCTCTTCCTGTTCTCATGCGGTGCTCTTTATCGTGGTTTTAAACTTGATTCAACAACCTAATTTCGATCATTCAACAGTATTTTAATACGTAAAACAACAAAGTGAATAGATGTAAGGGTCTGTTTCCGTAGTTTAGGATTAGGCAGCATAGGCAGCCCGGTCAATGCGCGTACCACATACAATTATCCTAAGGCTAGCAACTCTCTGAAAAAATATAAGGGATTAGTTAGGATTTCGTGAAGTCGTCGAAAAAAACTGAAAAACTGTTGAAGTTACCATTTGTTTGAATTTCAATGCCCTATAATACTGAAATAAACACCAACATGCGCCCAAATATAGTCCAATGTTGTCAAACAATTGTTGTCCTACAATTTCTACATGCAGTCATGCGGACCATGATGTTGCAGTGTGACAACTTTTAATAATCATGACGATGATCATCGCCTTTTAGTTGAGAGCCCTCCTTTCTTATTCATGGCAAGATTTAGAGCAAATATTTGCATGGAAATCAAACTGAAATTACGGCCATCGTCAAATAATTACGAGGTGATTTCACACTCAATAACGGAGAATGAAAACATGTCAGTAAAACAAAAAAAAAGACGCAATAAAAAGAATATTTGTTTTTTAAAAAGGAAGATAATATTGCCACGTTGACAACAAAAAATTCTTACACCTTTTCTTGTAGATTGCTTCTGCCGGAAACTTCCACACGAAGTTTTAACCTATACATAAATCATGAATGATTTTAAAACAGTCCAGTTAATCCTGTACTATATATAACACACTATATAGGTAATAAGTTATGGGCAGAGGTATGTTCCAGTCATGGGAATATCCGACCACAATGAAAGAAGAAAAATAATCAAGGTATTAAAGGTAAGACTATACGACGGTTCTTTTGCGAAACCTATACGGCTATTTTGGCACTGCATTAAAAGGTCCCGGAAAGATATTTTGGGAGTTCACACCGGCCATATATACTGGCCAAAAATACTGACCAAAATCCAATTTGCTTGCGTCTAAAAAAAGGCACATCGCGACTAACTCCTTGCTGAAGTGCCTTACTTAGTGGTTTTGCTGATATACTTATATTTAAAGGGTCAGTAGATTAAAAATATACGACAACATTTCTGACTTAAAAAGGAAATGCTCCTAAAATAGCTGAGACTGCCGTTTTAAAAGTAGGTTCTCTAACTGTGATATAACTATTTTTAATTAGGCTGCTTTCCAGTAATAAGTGTTTCTCGTACGAACGCGTTCACGCATAGGGGTTATCGAATACAGACGGAGACTGTCCAATTTTGGCAAAATTTGTAAACATCCCTCGTACTATTAATCCCGAATTGTGCTCGCCATCGCATGATTATAATATCGTAAATTCGCTATTTCAAGAACTATTGTTTCCCGTACCAACTCTCTCGTCTTTTTTTCCAGGTATTTGTAGTTATCAGCACAATCATCACCTTGTTGGCGTACTTCAAATTGTACCTAATCCACGATGCCCAAATAAGCAAGCCAGGTACGAAGGTGGTAATACATCATTCGAATCCATGCCGTCACGTGACACCTGAACCGGTGATCATCATGCAGGAGAAATTTGACAGCAACGACTATTTTTTCCCGCAATCGTACAACGAGCGAGTATGCGCTACCCCAAATAAGACGGAAAATAAAGAAAACGAAGGCGACGAAATTCAGAAATGTCTCACGGATTCCGACAAAGCCGAAGGTAATATAGTTTAAGAATGTAATTAAAAGCGCTGTTACACGGTGCAATTTCTTATGCAACTTACAATTCTACTTTTAAGGGATGTATATTTGCAGCTGCGAAACTAGACAATGACATAGACCATGCATAGACAATGATTACACTACGCGGACGTTTCTTTCACTTACATTTTGTAGACACTTCACTAATTAACATTTCCTAAAAGTAGAGTAGAAATACATTGTAAGTTGCAAGAAAAATTCCATCGTTTAACAGGACCTTTAGTTATAAACTCTGGTATTACACGAGACCATTGAATACTCGACATTGAGATTAACTCTTACCATGTGTAATTTTCTGTTTTTGTGTTGAATGGAATTTATGTTACACTTAGTATACCCAAAGTGGTGAAACGGACGACTCGAAATAATTTTGTAGAGATTTCGTAAATAACCAAATATACCCTCTCTAATAACCTTCCTTACTGAAAAAATACGCACCCTCGGGGGGTGGGGGGTGGGGGGGTGAGGCAAACGAAAAAAGAGTAGGGGATAGATAATCGTCATATTAATTAATTAATTATTCGTCTGGAAAAACAGCTTGTAGCTTGGGACTCTGGTGATAGTATGGGCTGCAGCATTAAGCTATAGGAAGGTTTGCAATGTAGCGAGGGTTCCTGGATTTAGTCTTTGCCGGGAATCGACTGGGCCTCTCAGGCAGATGCCTCCCCTCTATGTTACATAGAGGACTGTGTGATGCATTGAAAGTAAACGTGCAATTTCCATGGAATGATATTACATTTTTCTCAGATAGATTGTGCCTTCTTCGATTTCATGAGATATAAAGTTCCCTATATATAGTTACCCCAGTTCTAGCTGGCCTGATCTTCAGAGCACGACAAGATCATCTTAAATGGCCCGTTTAGCTTGTTGGAAAGCCCCGGTGGTCAAATATTATCCTTTGGGGGATTTTTAGAGAAAATTTTACCTGATATGCTTCTTCCTTCACAGGTCAATTGCATTGCGTGACAAGATACACAAATTTAGATGTTGTCCGGATCCCGTATCCTGGAAAAGTTACAAGTGAACATTGGAAAGTAGAAACCATCCTCGTTCCAGTAGCGTGCGAATGTTCTAGAACCGAGACTGTGAGAGCATATGGAACGTAGAATTGAACTAAACTTTTAGTATTTAGTCAGCCTTCAGTTTCGGCGAGGTGAAATTTACTATTGACCTCTGATCGTAGTTTTAGACACATCTGCTTGAAACCACTCGAAGCCGGCTCCATATAGGGCAAGATTTATACTTTCTGCCCGGAAATTAAAACGGCCATTAGAAATTGCCGCGGTAGCAGGTAAACTTGTAGCAGGTAAAGTAGCTTGGGCATATGCCAGCAGAAAATTATACAGTTACAGCGGTTTAGGTTCGTGTAATTTGAAGGGTTCGTAAAATTTTTAAAGCGTCGTGTGCATGGGTTTCTGTCTATGAAAAATGTAATCTTTACCACCCTTTATTTATTTTGTAGTGAAAAATAAAAATACTTCCTAGAAACTTTCTGAAAATCGTAGAAATTTAGGAATACTCCGGTTCTATTGTATTGTTCTGTAGAGAAAAACATCCCCTCACGCGAATTCTTTTTGTCCACATGATATATAGGCTGTGACACTGGGAACATTTCATGTCTGTGTTGTTTTTTTGTGCAAACGTTTTTTGAAAGCGTTCCTTTTTTGCCCTGTATGGGATCATTGCTTGGTTGATATGGCGACAAAAAAGGTAATACCATCTGATTCGATAATAGCGCGTGTGTTGTTGGTGATGAAACAGCACTAAAATGTGAACAAGAAACTGAATTTTGGGGACAGAAATTACGTACGGGCCATTTAATTTTTTATGGGAACAGATTTCAAGTTCAACCAAATGAATAATTTTTCGCCGCCTGACACCCTTGGACGTTCTCTGTTGGATTTTTTCATTCTGTCGCAGGAGCTGGCTTAAACAGTTTTTGTGTAGTGCATACACAAAATGAAAAAAAATCTGGGTTTGGGACGATTTTCCCCTTCGTGTCTTCTTGCACGACAAGTTTGAAACCTTGCTACATGTTATTTTGCAATCCAACCCCGCTTGTCGAAAAACTGAAAATATTTTCTCACTTTTTAACATAAACAATTTCTACTGTTTCATTTTCAATTTTTTAATACGCTCGTTACATTATTTTTAAAATAGATACCTTCGTACTTATCCAATATAGTATATATTTATAATTTTTACCCTTTTTACCTATGTTTAATTATATAACTTGCTGGCTTTTGTTTCTCAGTCCGATCATCTGTACTACAACTTTAACTACATATTGTATCTATTTACTTCGTTCCATCCCACTCCATCAGTGAGTTTATCTTGGTTGTTTATCTTCCGCATCAATGTTTTTCGTAGGCGCGATTCACTTCCCCAAAGTTTGGAGAATCTATGTGCAAGAAATATAACCAACTAGTTTTACGTACTGCATTGCAAGACCGCGCAATTTTTTTTTCTAGCGATGTAAGCGGCGATGAAAAGCGTTAAGACCAACACAGACCGGACGCGATGCGGCAACGCGACGCGAATTTTGAGTTTTCAGAAGCATATAAATTAAATTCTGGAAGCAAAATTTGGAAACTATGGACGCTAGAGCAGTTAAAATGTTTTATAGTTATGTAATCTACAAGAATATTATGATCGTTTAAAATTTATTTGATTTTGAAAAATTAAAAACGTTGAAAATTCGCCGGTCAGTGTCGGCCTTTATACTTATAGCTGTGGAGAGCAAATCACGCTTGCAAAAATGTTTGCGCACTGCTCATGAATTATTGCCAAGGGCTTGCAGAGGCTTTAGGGGCCCGGGGTAAAAATTTATTGATTCCTTTCTCTTGCACCCTGTGGCGCCAGCAAAAGGGGTAAAGGGAAGTGGGGGGGGGTTGGTTGGGCGGCGGTTGGCTAGCCCCTAATGATTTTTAGAATCGGCTTTCAGATTTGTAAAAATCAATGCGAAGGGCAAGGGTTTTAAATTTTGAGATTTTACCTGAGGAAATTTTCTCCTGGACATTACACCCTCATTATTGGGGTGCGGGCCCTTACACTCCCCTCTACGAGAAGCCCTGAATTTTCTAATTGTGCACTTCCTTCGTGGAGCTTCCTAGTTCCTCTAAGCCTTACGGACAACGGAAGGTCGAAATGTGTATCCTACCCTCAATAGAGCAACCACTTACATCCTGTTTCGTTTTTTTCCAGCTGCATGCATGTTTCCTGCCACGCCGACACTAAAACATTCTACCTGCTGAACCAATATCATCATTGCCAACGTCGAGACGGCGAGGACTGTCAAGAACCTTTTCATCATTTCGTGAAACTTTATAGTGCAGTATTTTCCTGTTTGCAGAGCGTGTTTCGCGAGTGACTGGCGAAATCAGTGCAAGATTTTAGCCTTTATACTGGCGTTCGGTTTGGATACGATTTGATTGCTAAGGCGTTTCATTAAGAAATGGTGTTGAGCAAATGAATCGTTTTTCTTTCAACTTGCCGGCATTCGTCGAAATTTGAAGTTAAAAAATGCATTTCAATCAGTCCATAGTTTGAATGAGCTGTAGTATTCAATAACTTGACTTGAATGATATGTATGCATATGACGTTTGGATATGCAGTAATTGGTATTGGCGTATTTCTTCTATGCATGCATGCACGCAGTTTTCATTACTAGGAAAATTACCTAATCACTTACTTAGTTTTTGAACTAATATAAATGGTATATTATCAAAATTTAGATTTCTAGATTTTGAATGTTGTATTGATGTACTAAATTATAAAATGTTATATATAGAATAAATTTAAAAAGTCGGTACAATCAGTTACCTGCCGTACAATTACGTTTTGAATATATAATATTAGCCAAGTCTATACATGCATGTATAAGAAAGAACACATATATACTTTTTAATATCCTAATGAGTTATTTATCGATGTCCTTTGCCCATGCCTAAGGTTTTTTGCTTGATGGGGAATTTTAACCACTAAATCGCTAGAAAATTTTAATCGAATCTGCAGCTTCAAATGACCGTGCATATATATATGTATATATATATATATATATATATATATATATATATATATATATATATATATATATACTATATATATATATATATATATATATATATATATATATAATATACCGTGTCCTATATCGATCACCGCAGCAAAGCCATCGAAGTTATAATATATAGGCCTAATTACTATAAACTGGAAATTTTATCCTAATTTCTTCAACAATTCCATGTCGGAAAAATATACTGATAGCTAAATATGCCAATCTTTTGTCACCGTTTTATACTAAGTAATTTAGCTATAGCTGATATTAGTGCATGTATAAAGTAAATCGAATCGGTCAAGCATGTATCGTTGAACGAAATGTTTGATAGTATATAGAAGAATAGCCGAAATCATTTTACAAGAATTTGTGATTTTGTACACGGTCAGCAAACCCAATGTTATGCAAACTTTTTTCATGCATTATTATTTATTATTGAAATTCGCATCGTTTCGTTTTTCACTTTGCTTGCCGTTCGAAACGATTGAGACAACAGGAGAGGTGACATTTAATTAACATTTAATTTTAAACGAATTGGTGCGTCAATTATATCATAATGATATTTCAGATTTCTATGGCGACGATCGAGATTTCTATGGCGACGATCGTAAACAATATTTAAATAGTTTCTTTATAGAACCTTTCCTGACATGCATGCATGCATGCTATAGTCTACAGCAATTTTTGCAAAAAAACCTTTTGAAAAATCTACAATCTATTACTTCCTCATTTTACAGACAAAAATCGTTTTAGAGTTGGAAAAGAAAACAATTGCCAGTCCGCTATGGCATGCAAGAGCCTTTTTAAAGACATAAAGTTTCTTAGATTCGTCAAGTTTGTTAGAAATAGCTTATCGAAAGCTTTAAGCAGCCGAAAAATTGTTGTCACAGGCGTCAATCGTCCGGATTTTTTTTACTCGTTTAATATCAAACGTAAGTGCATGTGTCCTATACGTGTTCAAGCAATTTCAAGCAC